ACCAACAGCGGAAAGAAAACGAGGGGGGGGGGGGGAGCAGAGTATAGTTTGTCGTTATCGTTCGCAAAAAGCTTCGCCGAGCGACGTCGCGCGGGAAGCTGAATACGCGCTGTACACCAAACTTAACACAGGGCACTTTAACAAGAGAGCTCGTTTTTACCGGGGTCCTCGTGAATGCATTATGGATGCCGTGAGTTATATATACGACTCTATCATGTCGAACTGTTATAGCGATCCCGCAGCTGGCGTGCGGGCGCCGATCGTCGCCGTTCACGTCTTTTTCCGCTTTTCGTTTTCTGCCGGCGAGCGGTAAACAGCGCGTGGAAAACAAGGTATATGGAAAGCAAATGCGTGGTCGCTCTTGAGCCGTAATCACCCTAGCCGCGATTGTGATTGACGGTTGAGGATGATTTCTCGACCAATCGGAGCGGAAGCGGTCACCGATCGCGCTTCGCTCCGATTGGCTGAGAAACAATCGCTGGCGTGATTACGGCTGGCACGCATTCTCGCTTATCGATTTCGTTATTGTATCTATTTTGTTGTCCCTCCTTGATTTACCGTCGGTATACCGGCTTTACATCGAGCGTCATATTTTCAATCGGATTTTATTACGGTTGACAGAAACGGTGTAAATGCGTTCCATTCAATTATGCCACTTTGCAGAGATACACGGGTCCGTGTAGCAGTCGGCCTTTATGCGTTCCCATTAGCTACGGGATCGCGTGTCTTTCCAATATTCTCTCATTCTCCGTTCACCATTCATGCTGTTTTACACGTCGAGTGTTATAAGGGTTACTTTTAATTATGCTACTTTGAAAGATAAAGCAATGAACGTAGCTGGTAATGCGCTCTTGTACGTTCATATTAGTTTTACACTCGCCGTTTTCCTAATATTCTCCCTTTTCCGATTCCACTACGAATGGCGTATACACGCTGCGTTAATTGTTCAATTGTGTAGTTGCGAAATGAGGAAAATTGCTGGAAATCTTTCTAATAACTTTCTCTCGTCACTCTCTCGTAAAATTGCTTTGATTATTTGTTGTAGATATTATCCAGAAAACTGTATATAATAATGTAACGGAGACTTTTCCAAAAATAATTTACCGCGTAAAATAACCGCGATTCATTCTTCGGAGGTAGGCGACTCCTTTCGCCATCCTCGCGTTAAATGTCCCAGAAGTGAATGACGTTGCGAATCTCGTAGTTCCTGCGTAATAAGGAACTCCGCGCTGCTTCCGAGAAAGAAATCTCTGAAACCATTACGGGTCTCCGGGCGAGCTGTAAAAGTTGACGCGCGAATAGGGAGGCCAAGTACGAGGAGCACTCTCCTCGTCCCTTTGCACTCTCGCGAGCACTCGAGATGGAGTACCTCGGAGACGAAGTGCCAGGATGTACGATTAACCCATCGAGGTGTCGGTTACACCTTAATGAGGTATTACTTTAATTGTCCATTAGGAATGGACTCGATGTAGTAACGTTCGCGAGTCCTTTACTGACGAGACAACACGAATCTTGGCACTTCAACGTCTTCCTCCATTAGGGGAATCTTCCACTCGTTTAGATAAATGACTGCGAATTGTGTAAGAATTAATAACGGTTCAACAATAGATTGACGATATTAAGTGACCAAGAGAAGTTGATCGACACAAACATAAGTGGCAAATATTCAGTCGGTGGGTCTTAAATGTGTTTACAATTTCCATGTCTAAGCAAACCGTACGCTGATTATTTGTCAGTCTTAAAAAATTAGCGCAGTTTTTTTAAAATAGAAAATATTGTAAAAATTCGTGCACACACAAAATTATTCCAGACTGGCTTAAACATTTTGTCATGCTTTGCGTCAAGTAACTGCATAACTCTGAATGGAACAAAGTATATTCAATCCGTATCTTGTTTACAGCAATCGAATTTTCTTCAAGCAATCGCTAATCTACGCGAGATAAGAGAGAGAGCGAGAGAGAGAGAGAGAGAGAGAGGGCTTGCAGTTGGTAATTAATAAATCGCAACTAATTCTCTCGTTTAAGTCATCGTAAATTATTTATCAGCGAAGTGCTCTCGAGCGACGTCTAATTATCGCGACTTGGAACCGCCACGGCTTTCCTTCTCGATTTATTAGCCAATTACAATCCATATATCCGCCACCAGTCATGAAAACAAGATCCGTATCTCTGTACGGCTGATCACTTTTGTACCTGTCACGAGAATTGCGCGGCGTTTGCTCTCTCCTTCGAGATTTTCACCTTCCTCATTAGGCAATTACGCCGAGTTTGATCTCCGCGCCCGATTTTTCGCTCCCGCGTCACCTCGCGGTCACCCTCCTTATACCCTCCGTCACACTAGAGGCGATGGAAAACACATTCCGTCGTCGCTTTGTAAGCACCGATCATGCGTCCTAATAGCCTAGATATATGACACCGAGTGCCCGACGCGACGCGCCGATCGAACTTTCCGCGCCGATGATCGTATACACGCGTTTCAAAGAACCGAGATCGCGGCTTCAAATCGTGACACAGGTTTGAGTTCCGCGTTGACGTTTCTGGAATAGAAATTCGAAAAAGAACGGTCGATACAATTCTGTGCCGAAGTCGATAGTCAACGTCGAGTAGAAGGAAAATTACGGCTCTACCTACACAGTTTCTCGCTAAATCCTCGATACCGATTCTTATACCAGTTCGTAGAATTAACGGCTAATACACGTCTAATAGCAGTTCTATATCTACAGGTACTATACGATATTAAAAAGCATTTGATAGTACTGCATAAAAATGTTAAATAAAATTAATTTTGACTGGCAAAAACTGGGTAACGTAATAATTCTTTATATTAATATCGTAACATAAACATTTGATATCGTTAAAATTTTTTTTATTAATTGACTTCTTAAATTTGTGACAAAAAAATTTCGGATCATCATCGACGACGCGATTATTCCACACGACTGACTACTAAGTTTTTCTAATGTAATTTTCATCGCCATCTTATATTAATATAAAATTAAACTCTCGATGTTGCGAGAAATATATCATGAGTGCTGCCGAGTGAGTTATTTATGGAGCAAACAAATTCGCTTAATTATAAAATTTTATTTTTAATTCTTTTACACCACGTTTCGTCATACTAGATTACTGACAACACTTGATTTACCAATCCTTTGTCAGCGAATTTGTTCTCTTGGAGAGTCACTCATTTGGCGTCGCAACACTCACATACATTTACAATTACACCGTCACGGAAATATTATGGTTTCATTTACATCTGATGAAGGCTCAATCCAGGAGCCGAAACATGTTACGTATTCATTTTAATTTTATTCAATTATAATTTTAATTTCATTACATGTATAAATTTATTGGTTTATTTATATAGACGACTCTCGTAATTTTGCTCTCTACATTTTTCTTATTGTTAGCTTTGTTTATCAATAATATTTATATAATATTTCTTTAACTAATTAATTAATAACTACACAAGGAGGTATTCCGTTAATTATTAAAGTTATCAGCTAATTTCATTCAAGTGAATTAGTAATAGATATATAAATTTGCATCTTCAATATTTCCGCTGAGAAAAATTCGATTATTTATTGGTCCGTAAGAAAACGTGATAATTTTGAAATTATATAGCTGTCGTGTATACGACCGTTTATTTAAATTGATCGTATGACATCCTGCGTGTGTGTGAACAAATTCTATCCCAAAGTCACACGATTGCGACAGCAAGGGATTATGGAATGTAGAATTATATGCTGAAGAATGCAACGAATCATTTTAATCAACGAGATTTAATCAAATTGCTGACTGAATTGATATCGGTAATATTCATATCTTCAGTTAATGGCTGTGATAAAATATGATGTGTGTGTTCATCGAAATATATAAATATTTATCTCTCGTATTTGCATGATATTTAAGATCTATCATTAGTCTCGTTATGCCCGTTAAATCTTTCCGGTCGAGAGAAGAAATCATCAAGGCAAAAGGATATACCGTGTCGATCGTGATGGCAGTTTTAAAGCCTTTAGCTTTAAGCTCGAATCGCGATGAAGGTAAACCGGAGTACGAGCGAATTCTTTGGCACGTAAGACCGATAATGTCCGCCTACTCGCGTGATCCACGGTACTAACTGCAGGACGTTATGAGACTGCGTGTCATGCATTAACAGTTGCATTAAGAGTTCGCGTTTTCCATCTGATTGTCGAACATTGTGTCCGCAGGTTAAAAAGCAAACACAGTGAAACTACCCTTGTTCGCGCGCGTAATATTCTTTTTAAATTTCTCGGGCGCAATTTGTTTTCGAAGAAATACTCTTCCGCGTGAATAATCATTACGCTACTATCACTACAATACTAAGTCGAAAGATGATAATTTTCAGTGTGTCTAAGAGAGATTTATTTGACTTTGGTCCAGTTGATGCAGATCTGAAATATAATAGTCGATCTAAACCCTTAATCACCCTTGCAAGATTCGTGCACTACTAAATTTATATAGTGTCACATTTAATTCAATCTATCAAATCGTTATTTTATTTAACCAAAACAATAGTTAAATTTTATACTATAAAGTGTCGATCAAATTAAGTGATTGTCTTTCAGTATAAAACAACGGTGTATCGAGTGGAAGCAATGACGATTTAAAGATTAAATTTGACATACAGTGTGTTTAAGCAAAATTTCCTGCATTGTGCACCCTGATAAAGTACGTTCCAAAATTACGTATTCTCACTTCCAATTATTACGATCAGTTATTATTGAGATCCAATAAGATGCTATAAGCATCAAAAATTGTTGGATTGCTCGTCAATTTAACTAAGTGATATTACTGCAATTACATCATCATATTTACTTGTTTTTCGTATCGACGGTCCAACACAAATCGTACTTATTATTACGCTTCTTAATCGTGCACTAGAAGATCGAAATTAAATAAATTTACGATTGAAAGTGATTTCATTACGGGTGTATATAACTTTAAGGGTTAAGCGAAAGCGTGCTAGGGCTTTACCGTTCGGGCTGGTAGGTCCGCCATGTGGCGTGTAGAGATGTCCATGAGGATTGTGCGGATGCGGGGGTGGGGGCAGCCACGCGAACCCCGCCAGGGAATGCGGAAATCCCGCGGGGTTCCAACCGGGAGCGCCGGGCGCTCCGGTGAGATACGGCGGGCCCTGCGAGGGCCTTTGCACTCCGGGATGAATCGGCTGAGGCACTACCGGGCTAGACTTCTCCTCCTTCTCCTGGTTGGCTTCCAGGTCCCTCTCCAATTCGCAATCCGAGTCCATCACGTTCAGATCCTCGGACTGGCCGACGCTTCTTATCTCGTGGTCCTCGAGGTCCAAATGATCCGTCGTACGGTCCCCATCCAACGAGCGATTCGCCTCGGAGTCGCTACGGTCGTCGAGGATCTCTCGTCTGCTCGCGGGCGACACGGATCTCGGATTGGTGATCCTGTCGATCCTCTCGTCCTCATCCTGAATACGCTCTTGTTCACGTTGGAGGATCGTCTCGCCGATCCCGCTCGGCGAACTGGTCGTCAGTCGGTCTCGCGGTATCTCCTGGTCTATTCTGATAGGCGAGGACGACTTGTCGTGGCTCGTCCTCGAGAAATCCTTCACCGTGAGCATCTCTTGTCGAGCGGGCGGGTGATCTTGCTCGAGTCTGTTCGGATGATGATGGTGGTGGTGGTGGTGGTGATGATTGCCGAAGCCGGCGAGACCGTGAGGACTTAATCTAGCGAGTAGTTCTCTGCTCTGAAGTCTCTGCTGTTCTATCAGGAGCTCGCGATACCTCGCCTCTATCTCGATATTTTTTTCAGTATCCATTCTGTCGTCGTTATCTCGCCTGGCCGCAAAGGTGCCGCCGCCGCCGCCGCCACCGCCGCCGCCGCCGCCGCCGCCGATGGCACTCTTCTTCGTGCCACTCAGCAGGGCATCGACGCTAAAGCTGATCTTGCCGCTTCGTGGCTTCAGATTCGAAGATGCTGACGTCGGAGTAGCCATGTCGACGTCCTCGCATAAACGATCGCTACCGGAACCTGGGCTACCCGTCACTACGCCTTCGCTGTTGCTCATGCCGATTCTGGTGTCGGCTTCCACGAGTTCTCACGTCTCACAAGTCCTCGAAATACGACCGGCAGTTCTAATCAACCTGTATAAAGCTACACTCTCGCGACAGTCATCCAAAGACGCGAATGAATAAGAGATCGTTCGGTCGCTCTCTTACTTCCATGTTGCGTAATCCCAATGTCCATGCAATAATAAAAACTGCAATTCCTAACGAAACACCGAATAAGTCGCGCCTGAAAGTGTCGCAGCTAACAGCCGTTGTATCAGCTTCTCACGGACGTCCGTTAAAAGATGATGGACGCGACACGTCGACGCCATCGAGCCCGCGGGGCACTTTCCACAGGTGTCGATCGAGTCACATCGCGATTCCTGGACGAAGGCCCGCTAACTTCGTGGTGACCAACCGAGAGGCGCAGAGCCCGCCGCCTTAATAAGTTTCGCGCTCCGTTATTCTTGGAATCCGCCGCATCGCCGCGGAATGACCCAGCCGACACGAGCGGATTCCTCCATCAGAGTCAGAGGAGTGTTCTTAGGATATCAACATGATGATCCGACCTCTTCTCACCTCTCAACTTTTATACTCTTCGCATCCTCGTCGATTCTCAGCTGATATATTCTCCGATACGGCGATGCTCTTCACGCGACACTTCGTGCTCCTTTCGCTCAGACGGCGCACGATGGATCTGCGTAAAAACATTTAAACGAAGCGCGCAGAATGGAATCCACGCTGTACAATACTCTCTGTGCGAGAGACGACGTGTCGTGAATGAACCTCACGTTGACAGCTTTCGCTGTCATGTTAAGTTTTAATTAACTACGAACGATTATTCTGATTCATCTCTCTCTCTCTCTCTCTCTCGTGTATATCCCATGATATTTTAAAAGGTATTTCCAGCATTGCGCTTCTCTCGTTTTAAACCTGAATCCTTCTTCATCATAACACGACGCACTGTTACGATATTTGTCGTTTGCTACGCACCCGTTAGGTTATACAAACGTCAATGTTCGCGTAACGGCATACAGGACTCACGAAAGCGACAGCTTGGAAAGGGTCAAGTACTGATCTCCAGCGTCAACCGAATTTCGCTGTCATCGATGTTGTTCATCAGCGTGTTCCATTAAGGACGTCGATACACGATCTCTTCGAATGCCCCTAGGTTCGTGGCACCTCTACGAAGTTTTTCTCGTGCACACCAACGCGCACCTCTCCGCGACCTAGACGGGATCAGCGAGGCGGTCGAGCGCGTACTCGCGGCTCCGATCGCGCGACGGTGAGGACACACGAAGTGGGAGGGTGCTGTTAGTCCGTGCCGCACGGAAAGAAACAAGTCGGTGGCAGAGTGTACAAATGTAATCGGTTGTAATCTGTATAATCTGCCGCGTGGTGACCGCCACTGCCGCGGAAACGGCACTGATTACCAGCTCGGCTGCACTCGCGGCGGAGAGCCCTGCCGAGGGGGCTCTCCATTCTCCCTCCCTCCCTCCCACCCTCTCTCTCTCTCTCTCTCTCTCTCACTCTATCTCTCTTTTCTCGTTCTCGGCGTTGCGGTGCTACTACCGCCTGGGTGCGCGCCGCCCCCGCAACGCTATAGCAAAACCGGTACCGTGGCCTGGGCCTCGACCAATACGCGCGGGCTGACGCACATCACGGGCGTTTCGAGAATGGGCGTGCTTCGCGGTCGGACGTGGACCAATAGCGGACAACGAGGTGGATCGAAACCCACGTAGGGGAAACCCCCTTCTTCCGGTACTCCGCAGCCGTCAGATGGAGCTGGCTGCATCGCCCGACGCCGGAGAGTGTCTCGAGGTGGTGGAGAACGCGGATGGTCGATGGAACGTGGCTATGGTGGCGGCGACGGCGGCGACGGCGGCGACGGCGGTGGTGGTGGTGGAACGCAGTGGGACCGAGCGGAACGTGACGACTCCTAATTGTCTAATTCCCGGGCGCGCAATGCGCGAATTGATTGGCAATACGGGTGCACGTGGCTGTGTGCACGAGCGCATGGCTGGGAGGGCAAGCATCCCTCTCGCGCGTTCGCCCGTACACAAACCGCGCGTCGCGTCGCCTCGTTCCGCCGCGCCGCTCGTCGTATAAGAGTGAGCGAACGCGACCGATTTATAGGATTTATTATACATTTTGATACACACAAATGTCTGTCGTGTTTAATTATTAGCGGGATAATTGAATCTTTAAATTCGGCAATCTGGCTTTCGAACGATCGCTTGTCCTCTCAAACTTGTAAATAACGTAAAGAATTATTTCAGAAGTCAGATATACTCATTTTCAAAATGATGTGAACAAAATATGGAAATGTCACTGAAAAGAAATATCTTATCTCGATATTGATATTCCCCCTTTTAGATTATTATTTTTCAAGATATACTCACATAGATCTTTAACTATGAAAATTTTTTAACAGCTTCTGATATTTTACTTTCTTCTGAATACTTTCAATGAGTTCACAAAAACGATAATATAAATCCTATAAATTTACGTCAAATATCATACGCAACATAAATCAATAGAATAAACAAATACTTGCGCTCTTTACAAGGGAATAATCGCGGGATGCTTCACTGATAGAAAGGGATGGATCGGTGCGTTAACAGAAAAAGACATATTGAATCTCCGATCCAAAAGAAGGAAGCACATCGATACGGCGAGGGTGGGGAAGCGCCTGCAACACGCGCGCGCTCTTCTCGCGGGGAAAGAGATGTACCGTGAAGGCGGGAGCGAGCGGAAAGAGAGAATTGAGCCGTCAAGCATATAGGGGTTTTTGCTGTTCGCTATAGTCGCCAACGGGAGAACTGAGGAGACCTTCAGCGACGTACGAACGTTTTGTTTTCTACTTCACGACGTTCTTATTCGAGTCTGTCGCGCATATTAGCACGTGAAAAACAAACATTTATAATTAAAAACCGAGATAACGAAGTATTGAAGTAGCGACAGCTTTTTGCACAACTTCACGAGAAGTCGACGTAAATTTTTTTTACATAATGTAATCAAAACTGTAACGACTTAAGATAACTGAATCTTACGTAATTAATTAATATTCCAACCAAGTATTTAAATTAAGTAAAAACGGTCTTTTTTTTTCTTCTTCCCCCCCCCCCCTCATTTCTAGACTTTATGTAGACATGTAACGCAACTTTAGTTTATAAATTATTTCATGACCATAAAATCGTTTGTCAAACTGTACGGTAACACTAATAAGTGATGATGTAATAACGAGGGAGTAACTGCACTAGCTGAAATATTGTCCCACAGATTACATAATTTTATTTGATTTCATAACGATTCCATCTGATGAAAAATAATTTTCTTCACTATACATATGAAGTTATTTAGTAAAATAAACGATTATATCTGATATTATACAATTATTCCTTGTAATTTCATACGTAATTATCGAATTATACATATAAGGATTTCATATGAACGTTATACTGATTTCAGGAACTCTATCCCACGATTACATTAAGTGGTTATCTCTTCGTGTAATAAGAAATAGCGAGACATTTTTCAAAGCATATCGTGTTTAGAAATTTGATTGCTCTTAGTATACGAATATGATACACGTTAGTTTTACAATTAAAAGAAGCAAACATTTGAAAAATCCTATTGTTAGCGGAATGGGAAACGTTGTATTGTATGCCAGGCTCTTAACTGTAAGTCCTAAACAAAATGTTCAGCATATATAATCGCGATGATGTCGAGAATGGTGATGCCTTAGAAGTATACTAATCCGATTGGCATTGTGATGAAGATATAATAGCGAGCAACTTTTTGACTCTCTCTCGACATGTCCAACAGGACAAATCAGCTTTAAAGAAGGACATTTTGGAAAAGCCGATTAACCTTTAGAGGGTTGCGAGATGTTATACGATATACAGGGTGTCCCAGAATGACCGCAAGATATTTCATGTGCCGATAGAGCGAATTAAACTGAGTTGAAGAGTCTTTTACCATTTTGCAATTTTCGCAATAGTTAATAAGATATTATTGATATTAATTACTAAAAATCGCCGAATTTTGGGCTCCAATAATTTTTTACTCAACTACTATCAACTTTACAAAAAAAAATACAAGAGAGACAATTACTTATTTTCTTCTCATAAAGCTCTAAGAATTTTTTCAGAATTTTCTGGAACCTCTTTTTCTCTCATGTTGGTAAAAATAATTAATGCAAAAATTGTAAAATGGTAGAGGACTTTTTAACTCAGTTTAGTTCGCTCGATCAGCACACGAAATATTTTGCGGTCATTCTGGGACATCCTGTATGTTTCAAAATCTGTCTCATAGTTTGATCCGATTATACGCTAAATATGATATATTCCTTCATAGAGCCAAATTTTTGCTTAAGAAAAAAATCTGTTTTTCTAAAGATTAAAGAAAATTATTTGACTACTGTCTGTTGACATGCAACATATTTATTTCACGTACTTGCGAATAATTTTAACATCTCGATGTAATCTTTAATTATTTTCGATCCTTTACTTCATGACTGTACTGATCTTCTATTCATTGCCAAAAAACTGTCTAATTTTTTGTCAAAGTCGAACGAAGATGAAGGAGTTACCAGTCTTTGGTCCAGTCATCGAAGACTATGTTTAATATTATTACCGTTCAGATCATTGAAGATGGCTCAGAGTGAAGCCGAAACTGACAAATTATTATAAGTATATAATTAGTTCAATAAAATATTAAGTATTAATTCGCACTAATTACTGTAGATTGACTCTCACTAGTCCGTTTCTATTCGTAATTTGACATTCTCGAGAGTTCTATATTTTTATTTTATTTATTGATTAAAGAAAACCTCGGTTATATAATCGATCACAAGATACAGCTACAGGTTTTTGCGAATAGTATGGTCGCGCTGCTATCACGTCACTTTCGTAATTCTCGGCGATTCTTCTCACCTTGGACGGATTATGTTACGAGCGTTACGTGCGAGAATGTTTAAATGCGATGTGAAATAGAATTGCGGAGTCAATTAAGACGCACTGTAGTGCCGAAC